AACGGAGACTGGGTACTTTCGCGGACTGACCTCATTTAGGGAATTAAAATGATAAATTTCGGCAGTGAGAAGTGAAAGTGCAGTGTTAGCTAGTCCTTTTTTGAACAACCCAGACGTCGAAGATTCATATTAAACATCGTAATAAATGTTGTCCTTTGAAAAACTGACTGAGTATTAGAAAACGTAGGTTTGCCCACATATTCTAGCGGAACAGGAAAATAAAAAAAAACCATATGGTATACAAAATAAGACGTTGCAGAAATCTATTATTATCATCCCTAAAAATCTATTTAAAACTAAAACTAACGCGATGAAGCAAAAATATATTTAAAAAATAAGTTTAAAAGCGGCAAATTTTTTATGAATGGATATCTGAAAGATCCACTAACAAAACTTAATTTAAATATAAGATTTCTATCATTTCCAAATTGCCTTGTTTACTTGCAATTTTAATAGCAATAAAAACAATAGCAACAATAGAATATGCAATGTGCTGCATTTAAAATGAAGACATAGTTTGGCTATCTAAATAAATAAAGATTTCAAGTTTTGCACAGTCTTTTGGTTAGTTAGTTGTTTCGAATATTGTTCTGTTTTTTCATAATTTTTTTAAAGAAACTTCCACAGCCTTCTGCAATGATATTTACAAATCTTCTAGATTCGTCCTGTGTAGGTTGTTTAGAATTCAAATTTGCTGGCGTTTCGCCAATCATACTCGGATGATTCCCATATTGGTGACAAGTAAAGACCTGAGTCGCGGTTAAGATTGTTAGGTTGCTTAGATATAGATTTCTATGGACTCTCGGATTTTTTGATGGTAGAATTTTAGTGTTATCGAATAGAATTTTATGCTGCTATGAATTTATTTGTCGTAGCCTTAAGGCTCTTTCATGCTCTTTGAGCGTAGTTGATATTTTCGTCCGATCTCTCCAATGTATTTTAATATTTACCCTTATTTCTGTATAAGGCTATCACATTAATTGGCTATGACAAAATGACATTGTCAAATTTTTCCCTTACAAATGAGTTCATCAATTCATAAAAATTTTTGTGGTGGATATTATTTATATACTGTGCGAAGGTTCCATTTATGATGGATTTACCACTTAAATCTCTTATTAATAAAGCTTGCTGCTTCTTCTAGTTTTGCTTAATTTATAGCCTCCCAAAAGTAAAATAGACGTATCTATGACGAAAGATCATTACCTCACTATACTTAATGGAGTTAAAAATTTGTGAAAAGCCAAATCAAAACCCTTATCTGTTAAATAGTTCAGAACTTTGGGCCCATGAGTTGTGGTTTTGTCCTGTCAAAAAAAAATTAGAGGCAACTACATCGGCATCGTTTGGTTGCTCTCAGAGCAATGGTTTGAAGGATACTGGCTTGCCCCAAAATTTAATTGCTTCATTGGAAACCGAAGACGATCTTGAAAACTTTTAAATGAAACCACCGAACTTCACAGTACCATAGCATCTAAAGATAAAACCGAAACCGTTGAAGATGACGTGCAACTTTCTATGGTCAGTGAAGAAAATATGGCAGATAGTGAAGTGGTCAATGAGGACAACATGGCGGATAGTGAAGTGCATGGAATAGAGAGAAGGGAATATAGTCATTGAGAGTACGAGAAACCAAAGTCAACTTTCGTTATGTGTGCAATAACAGATCATGCTCTACGTCGAAAGATAAATGTCCCCTGTTATTCTAAATGTCATCATTCAAGTTCATGTTCAAATAAATAATTTTTTACCAAAGAATAATTTTAAATAACATTCTCAACTGTATATTTATTTTATATCTGATTAAATGAAAAAAGGTTAATTAAATTAGAACAAAAAATGTTCAGATTTTCACAGTTATTTGTTACTTTATGACAATATTCCGACATCTATATATATAATCAGCTAGTAATAGATTTTTAATTACCGTTGTAGGGTTATGAATTTAAATTTAACAACGAAGACGCGTTTAACTCCAACTGGTCATTAAGTAATAGATTCGAATATCCCATTTTATTAATCACCATGTCTTCCAATAAATTTAGTTTTTTGCTTTTTGTTTCATTATGTAAAATATCAAAATTATCGTCGAACTTTTATTTTTATACGCTCTTTTATATTCGTTAATGTGTTTCTTAGATGTACCTGTTTGTCCGATATAGATTTTGGGACATGGTCCGCATTTCAACTTGCAGATTCCAAATTTTTGAGTTTTTCGTAATTTAGTTTTATTTTTTAAAAATTGTCCAAAAGTGTTTTCAGTTTTAAAAGCAATCTTAAGACCAAATTTGGACAGATGTCTCGAAATTTTCTTGCTAGGTTCTCCTATGTATTTTATTGTTTTATAAATTTTAGGATACGTAGAGTTCCGAGTTATTTAGTTATTATCTTATCTATCAAAAAAGGTTCCTAACTATTGTTAAATGCTATTAGTTTTACAATATTTAACTTTTTTTCAAAAATTTCTGTGGAAATTGGGATATTAAGTAGTCTGTGGGTCAAAGAACAAAACGCCACCACTTTATGTGTGAGAGGGTGATTTGAGTTATCATGAATTACTGTGTTCCTGTGTGAGGATTTATGGTAAATGGAAAAATCTAATTTATTCTGTAATTTAGTTATTCCAGAAAGTTTTAAAGGGTTTTTTAGTTCCGTCTCTATAGTAAATTTTATACGCTTATGTGTTTTGGTCTAAACAAACTATTAAAATATCTAACGGATCTTGTTTTATGATAGGGTTGACTTGTCTCTGAGTGAGAAAATGTTTACTACGTCTATCGGTGGAATGCTAGCGAATAGATTTTGGACGTCAAAGGAAACTAGAATTGATATTCTCACATTTTTATTAATCTTGTTGAAAGTTTAACTGATGACGATGTTACAAAAGAAACCACAGGTCTAATTGGCATATCCTGTATGTGTAATTTAATTGAATAATTATTAGTTGGTATTTTTCACTGTCATTAAAACGTGATGGATCTGTAATTACAGTTGTGATTTGTTTTTGGTATAACTCAGTGTGATCACATTGTATACTTTGGCAGTCTGGTCTTAGAAACTGTTTGATTTTTGTAATATATTCTAGAGAACTGATAGCTATGACTGTCTTTCCCTTATCTGCTCTTGTGAATACTATTTTTAATTAATTTACCACCTGTTACCACATGATTATGCATATAGACGCTGGAATATTATAAACAGCTGTTATAAATCATTAAGTAAAAGCTGACTCAGTTCAATTACCGAAACAAACTGAATTAGTTCTGGCCGTTTAGCAATATTCAGAGCTAATTTTGTAAATTTTTGCTTACTTTGCAAAGCTCTTATAATCGTATAAAAAACTAAGAAAGCCAAAATTTGAATATTTGTTTAGGGCAATGTTGCAGAGGTTCCAACAGCAAAGTCTTAAAAATGTACCACTCTCTGGACCTATCGTAAAACCAAAAGCTGAAGGACTTGGCATTATCGATTTCAAGGCTTCGGAAGGATAGTTGGGGAAGTTCACACAGAGACGTGGTATTAAATTATGGGCAGATAAGTGCCGAAGCCCGTGATAACAGAAGCGTCACTGACGATTAGCTGGAGAAGACGTGGCCAAGATTAGCAGAAAAGTACCCTGCTGACGACATTTTTAATGCTGACGAAACTGGTATTTTTTACAAAATGACGCCAGATGAAACTCTTAAATTTCGAAGTGAAAAGTGTGTGGGTGGAAAACTTTCTAAAGAACGTATAACAGTGTTAGTAGCTGTCAATAAGAGAGGGGGAGAAAAAAGAAAGCTAGTCGTGATTGGAAAATCAACTAACCCACAATGTTTTAAGAACATCCAGCATTTGCCGGTCAGTTACAAGGCAAACAAGTCTATACGGATGACATCGCAAATTTGTGAAGAGGAGATACGGAAATGGGATGCAGAATTAAAGGGGAGGGAAATATTACTTTTCTTAGATAACTGCCCTAGTCCCATATTCCAAATCTACGGAATATTGAATTGGCATTTCTTCCAGCCAAAACAACAATTGTATTACAGCCGATGGACCAGAACGTAATAAAAAGTCGATACAGCAAAAACATTCTAATGGAAATCATCGACTCCGAAGACAAATTTTTGATTAATATCCTAGATGCAGTCAACTTTATTAGTAAAGCTTGGAAAGAGGTGACAGCGGAAACAATTCAACACTCCTATCGCCATGCAGGACTTATCACCGAGACAGAATGCGAACAGGACTTGGAAGATGATTAGCCACTAAGTGAGGAGTGAGGAAGATCTGCAAGAGGAAGATGAAGATAAAGAAGTCGATTTTGGACCACTACCAACCATATAACAAGCCTTATATCCAGTTAAGCTGCTAGAAATTTTTTTTATGTAACATGGGGAAGAAATGGTGAAAATACAAGCCAAAGTAGGAGATACGTATTGGCATACTAAAAAAATTACAAAAAAAATGACCGATTATTTGAAACATTAAATGTAAATGTAAACACATGTGAGTATTGTTATTTTTCAAGTGCGAAAACTATAACCAAAAAAAAGCAGTCCCTTCAATTTCGTTTATAGTATCTTTGAGATATGTCCATCTCATTTGCCCTACAAAAATCGTCGCGACGAATGTGGGGGCCCCAATGTATAGCGGGCACTTTTGTCGCAAAATTAACGGCTATTGTTTATAAAAACAGTATGACTAATGACGCTCGTTATCTCACCTATAGAAATTTAATATACACAAAATGATAACCGAATTTCAATAACGTAAAATTCCGTTCGCAATAGGGCGACTTGTAAAAGAAAGGGCTAAATTTTCGAAAACCACCGCGGCAACGTTCGATTATTTAAAGCCCTTTCGACAACAAGAATTTCAATAGCTATCGGCGATTCGATAGAATCGCAGAACCGGTTCTTGCAGCGTTTGAAACTGCCCAACACCTATTTGGTTTAAAGGGTTTAAAGCGACCGGTCGCAAATTCAATTAGCGCCAGGATTAGGGACGTACAGTACCTTCGTGAACAATTCCGCAGTTGTCATTTCGAAATTGCCGTGTCTTTTGCGTCCGCGGATCCAAAAAAACAACACTTAATTTTCGCGGTTTTGTTTATTGCCCACGTATCAAGCGCAAGGCGCGAGCGAGACTGATACGGACATAGGGCTTATCTTATCTCGACGTGGCTGCACGAAAAACTCGACAAAAAAATCGCGGCATAGGTGGTATCGGCAAAAAAACATTGTCAGTCGGATTTATCCGCACTTTTAAGCTCCCAAGGTAGCGCCCGCACCGCGCACCATGCGCGTTTCGACTGCAAAGCTGTGCAAAGCTCCACGAATTCTCTCGCGTGTGCAGCATTGATCCGTCGGTACTCTGCGCTGTTGCCAGATTGGGCAACATCTACGACGACCTTCGCTACGAAACGATTAAACTTGGCGGGAGGGGCCAGTGGTTGTCCCATGTATATGCTACTACCTTTACAAAAATCAATTCTTTTAGTTGTATCCTCATATATGCAAAAAAGAACACGAATAACAGATATCTTTAATATTGGTTTCCTTTAAATGAAGGGTCCCATATTAAGTCACCGAAAGCAAATTTTTCACGAGAAACGCAAAACTCCTCACGTTTATTTGAATTTGATAAATTTATATAACAAATCAAATTGTGGATATTTATGCAACAAATTTCATATATAAAGTATAGATTTCCACTGATTAAAGATGTTGGTGATTTAACACGTTATAATACGACCAAAAATATAGTGCATTTATTGCTTTGACGTTTTAAGTATTTTACAGTACCCTATCCACAGACCTTCGCAGGACCGTGGCAAATCCCATCCCAACAGATGTTTATTCTGCATTAATTAGGTCTTGCATGAGATGGATCGTTATAAATTAGTAGTAGTAGTAAGTAGTAACATCAGGTGATATGTATCTAAATTGCAATATGCTCGTATATATATTACGGAGGTATTCGAATGTGATCCTTCCAGTAAGTACGTATTTATGTACCTGATTCTCGAGATTTCACCCTGCGAGGCTGTTTTCAAATGGTAAGGGTAGGTACCTGTACTCTATTTATCTTACAGGTGAGTTTGAAAATAATCATTTTTGTCTTGTGTGCCTGTCGATTAATAACATTCTTCTTCTTGTTTTTTGTGTCTTCTACGTAGTTAAACATTTTTTGCAGGTTCCTATTTTTTAATAATTTAAAATGTGGAATGAAGCAGCTGTTCCACCGTTGGAAGGAGACATGAAAAACAACGCAAAATTTGAAGACGAAGTTGAGATGGTAGTCGAACCTAACGACAATTCAGAAGACGAACTACCTCAGCGAATAAAAAACGGATCCATTTGTCTTGGGTGTCGTATTGGAGGCTTTTTATAATAAAAGAGAACTCCACTACAAGCGCGAGATACCTGGCTGAGAGTCCCACATTCTAACCTCTCAAGACCATAGAATAAGAACACTAACCAACCACAGACCACCGAACAAAACCCTGATGCAACATTGGGGTGCTAAACAAATTGTTTTGAATGTTTACAATTTTGTAAAAATTCAGACTGGAAGAAACTGGAAGAAAAATTGTTGCAAATGGAGTAGTCAAGATCAAAGTGAGCGAAGATGCTGGTACTTCGCAGATTTACTTAGGCCTTATAAAGTGAACAGTGTTTTAACTCTAGAAGAAATGTATAAAAAAGTACTGACAGATTTAAACATTAGTTGTGCCAAAGAGTCGTTGCTTACTTTTCTGAAGAAAATTAACTAAATTAGACTAAACGTGGTTCGACAGTCACGATACAGTAAAAAAAGGATGGCGTGATAACAGTAACAAGTGTGTGCTACGCGTGCCGCTTTCACATGGAAAGCGCAAAATAATTCTTCACGCTGGGTCCAAAAATGGTTGGGTGGAAGACGCCTTATTTTGGTCTGTCAAAAATGTCAAAGATTCTAGTCTGGTTTACCATGAAAACATGATATACCTAAATAACGGATTCAACTATTCTACTATTCAATAAAAAATGTTACAATAGTTTTTCATGTACATTTTATGTAGTGTAATTATAGTAACAATATCAACAAAATCAAATCGAATTAGATTATAGAAATTTTTTCTTTTAAATTTTAAACTTGGTATAGTAACTGGATATTTAAATATGAGATTTCACTAAGAAATGATTAAAATTTCAGTAACAACATTTTATACCATTCATCTAACAAATCTACGGAAAACTACTTTAAGTTTTTGGCAGCAATATCCTTAATTCTGTTATTAAGGTAACTGTACTAAATAACTTTGTACGAGGTATTTTATTCTTTATTTTTGTTCCTCCTTTTTGGCTTTAGCAGCTTCTTCTGGCAATTCTCCGATATATATGGCATTTTCTATTGCTCTATGAATTAGTAGTTTGTGAACTGAAGACGGAATCGTGACATTTTGGATTCTCATGAAATGCGCCTTAAAATTGCAGAAAATCTTCCTAAAAGACTTTTGTTCAGGTCTGTAATTTCAGAAGATTTATCTAGATGTTTGAAGAATTTGAATTTTTTGAAGACACCTCCTTGATTTCTTTTTTTAAATTGGAATTTGAATTGGATTTTTCCATGTTATTTTTTCAGGGTTATCCTCAAAAACAAGACAAAGTGGGACATATGAAGTTACAACAAAACTTGCATCTTGTTTGTTTGTTCTTGAAACGATTGCCTGTATTGCGAATGACCACTACTGCCGTTAAATCCCCACGTTCGTAGCAAAATCAAATTTTGGTCTTGATAGTTTGAAGTAGAGTCTATCCTATATTCCGCTTGTTGTGGGATCTATTAAGTAGGGTAGCACTTTTTCTTGGATTCTAAAACTTTGTGATATGAAGGAAACATGTTGTTTTTTTTGGAATTTATAATATTTGCTGATGTTCAGTCAGCGATAATGATTAAAATAGAAGTAGCAAGCAAGCAATGTATCTACTCGACGCTACAAAAATTATGCTTAATATTTCAATTATTACGTATTAATTACGTAAAAGCTTTATAAAGTATTCATTTTCAACTCTCAAAATTAATAAACTTTCGTTATTTTCGAATATTCATTTCTAACTAACATAACAAACTGTCAACGAAAATAAACATGGTCATGATTAGGCATATTTTTTTAATGAATGCATTTCTTTAAAAGCATCAATATTTTATTATTATAAATTTGGACTATAGCTGAGCTGAAAACGAAGGTTGTTAAAGAAAAAATTGTTAATACATTTTGATGAATTTTGTCCGTTCGTGGGACCACAGCGAAGCGTATCGGTTGCTGATTTGACGCCCTCAACTTTTCAAGCGGAAACATCCAGTTTTAAAATCCCGATAAATTTCGGAGAAATACAGCGTGTCCAAGACAGGGATCCTGTGTAAGGAGCTGCGTATTTTGACGCTTATTTTTACATGAGACAAAAAAGAAATTTGTTGACTTTATTTGAAGAGATATCAAAAAAGTGCCAATTGTGGTTGTTGTTACCCCGTTTATCGAGTTGTTTTTAGAGTCATTGTCGTTATTGTTACTGTTGTTGTTATTATTGTTTATAATAAGCTGTAATAAGTAGTAATTGTGGTTGTTATTACGCTGTTTATCGAGTTGTTTTTAGAGTCATTGTGGTTATTTTTATTGTTGCTGTTATTATTGTTTATGATAAGCAGTAATAAGTAGTAATTGTGGTTGTTGTTACCCTGTTTATCGAGTTGTTTTCGGAGCTATTATTGGTATTGTTCCTGTTGTCGTTATTATTGTCTGTCATAAGCAGTAATAAGTAGTAATAAGTAGTAATTGTGGTTGTTGTTACCCTATTTATCGAGTTGTTTTTAGAGACATTATCATTATTGTTACTGTTGTTGTTATTATTGTTTATTGTTGGATCGTTGATATTATATATATAATTATGAAGAAACGCTTGACATCAGCAATGTATCTTAGTACATATCCAGAAAGAAGGCACCCATGTAAGTCCATTTTCTCGAAATTTAAAAGAATACGGTACATTCAAAAAGCCGATATCGAAAAAAAAAGAATCTTTGGAAGAAGAAGAGACATTAAAAACGTTTTGGGTTTAATGTGTGCTGTGGAATTATGAGAACCGAAGTACTAGCTCCATTTATTTACCATAATTAATTACCCACATTACTATACCTTTATTTATTGCAAAATGACTTAGATAATTTACTTCTGGCACAGGCCAAAGCGGAATGAGACCCCTAGTGAAGTTTCTTGGCCAGCCCGACTCCCGGACTTAAAAAGTGTTCATTACGCGTCTACTTAAAAATCTTACCAAAACACCTTTAAAAAGTAGAAAAAACAAAAATTTCCTTTTAACTAAGTAAAAAATCTGCGGTACAGCGATGAATTTATAATAAAAAATGGAATCAGATACAGGGTGTACCTTTTTTCTGGTCATATAAAAAAATAAAGTTGATGGACAACGGATATAAAACCTAGGATTTTAAAAGTGCCAATGAAAAAAAATAAAATCAATATTGTCAAATTCCCGTTTTTCCAAATTTTTTCAAGTTTCTAATCACTGAACTGATAATTTTATTTCAGGATTTTCTAACGCGCGTGGTGGCAACATTGGAGAGACCTTCGAAAAAGAACAACAAAACAAGGGTGGCGACATCTGTCGGAGTTCTACATAACGGCAATACAGAATTCGATGCTATTACGTGTGGTTTGACCTCGCATTCATAGATGGCGCTAATATACAGTGAACAAAAAGCTGTAGAAAGCCATCTGCATGGAATAGTTATTTCGAATCCCGACCAACGGATAGCGCTGTATGCTTGGGACTGTGCATTTATTTTTTAGTAAGTTTTGATTTCTTGGTCCATTACAAAAAACTGTACCGGGTGGTGCAAGCACTTTTTACATTTCGAATGACAAAAATAGGATTCGAAGAGTTGATTTATCAAATTAGTCAAAGTCAGTATGATGAGACTATATATTATGTTGAAGTTTTTATTAATAAATATGTTTGTTCAATGTTTTTATTTATTCTAATACAGAATAACAAATCAAAAGTTCCGATCTGCATATGTTTTTTTGCAACAATGCCATCATATTTTTCCGTTTATTTTGAAATTTAATTTCTGATAAGACAGGATCATTTTAGGGCATTCTACAAGTATAAAAGGTGTTATTGTTCAATATCTGGATTTTAATATGTTTTCAAGATACACAAACTTAACGTAGATGCACTTCGATACATTTTGCAATTTATTTAATGAAGGATTGTCTTTTTTTTAATGCTTTCTTGATT